GAGATTATGTTCTTGGTTGTAGTGGTTGTTTAACTCCTATTCCGCCATGCCCATCCTGTCTCTGGTATCAAGTTTTCTTAATGGCCCTCAATAAATATGTATACCTTTTTAAGACTGTTTTCAATAAATATCAGATGAAGGTGAATGATTATCTCAGATCGCCAGTTTCTGAAATACTTGAGCAGCCTGTCTGACCCCCAACATCAACATTTTAAAATTGACATAAACTTCAACTCTTTCTCATCCTGCAGTTCCCTCTGAACCACACCATATCTAGATACCTTAATGTAACAAATAGCCGATTTTTGGGTTATTTAATACTATTGTTATCAAGCAACTGAACAAGTGCACCTTAAAAAGCGTCTGGTGAGTGTATACTGTAGGATATTTTTTTTATTTATTTTAGTCTTGCATATGACCTAAACTTATGAAAGAAATGGCTTACTGTAAGTTTCACATATAGTTTCAAGCTCTCAGAAACCTCAAGTAGTGAGTCACAAACATAAGAGAAAAAAAATGTCAGCGTAAAACGCCTGAATTTGCGTCACTGTTTAGAGTTTGCCACCACAGACCATGTCTGTAACAGCTCTCAGCACTGTGAGGTACTGAGTGGAAAAGGCACTGACCAAATAACTGACCGTACTTCTTTTCCTCTCTTAAACCCAGGATGGACTTTTGGTTTGTGGGCTCACCAAATAACATTTCAAAGACATGGGATAAAAAAATAAAATAAATCACAGCAGCAGATTGTGGATTGGAATGGAAAGATGAAAAATATGTGTTGCTGTTAAATGTAAGCTTATTTACAATAACAGCATGCGTCGTTTTTGTGACACTATGCAGACTACATGTGGGCCTTTTCATTACTGCCACCTGTCTTGTTTTTACAAATATGGAACTGCTTAAAGCCCCAGTAGAGCAGTTATATTTTTATACAAGCCTTGGAAATCCAGCTTTCTCACCTGTTTGAGTTCCTGGGCCTCAGCCTGACTGACAGATGGCTGGAGAACTTGCACCTGCAACTGGGACAGCTCTCCTGCCGGGACCTCCACTGGGAGCTCAGTGTCTTGGCACCTCTGCATCAAACCTGCTTCTATTGGGTGGAGGTGGTGAAAAAGTGCATACAGTTTGTTTTTTTTCTTATATTTCTGTCACAAAGAAACACCATTAGCCATGATGAAATGTTTTTGCATGTGACTTAATTTCTGGATGCAGCAAGCTGAGAACACAGATCACTACTGCCACTCAGTGGTCAAATCTGCTAAAGCATGGCAGAGGAAATAAAAACAACTGTTTTACCTTCATTCCAGTTTGTCCCTTCTTTGATGGAAGGAGATGCCAGCTGAGTTGCCTTAAAGGCTTCGTATTCCCTTGTCATCTTCTTTTTGTACTGCATCTCTAACACGGACAAGACCTCTGGCATCTTGGCTGACAAGAATCTATAACATATATCTGGTTTTCCTATAAACCTCTGTCTAACTGTGATCTCGTAGGGATTGTGCACCCTAATTTCATCAATTTCGTTCCGTTCAAATCGATGGAGGAGGTGGCAGTTGGTATCTTGTGCCTCCAATGAGGAAACCAGCAACACCAAACATCCAGGCTTTAATTCTGAGTCTCCGCCTTTGGACAGCACTGCCGGGATGCTTGCAATCACCTTGCTCCTGCTAGAGACTTTGCCCGATGAGATTGCAGCTGCCGCCTTGGCAGCATCCTCAGCTTTGGCATCCTGCTGAAACTTCCAGTTGAGTTTACTAAAAGGCCACCAGGAAGGAGACTCAAGTTCTGAGAGAAATCTGAAAAGAAGCAAATAATGTACAGTACCATGAGCGTATTTGTAAACCTTGTCACATTACAGCCACAAACTCATATATGCTTTAGAAAGATTTCACATTAGTAATAAATCATCAATAGAATTCAAAATTATGAACAAGTGTTTTTTAGATTTCTTATCAAATAAAAATGTTATAAGAAATTAATTTCTATTTACCCACATCTACTCTAATGCCATAAATAAAACCAAGTCTAAGCACTGTAGATTTTTACAGCAGAATTTAACGCAGTAATCCACCAAAAAGAATGCAACAAGTAAGGCCAACTGCAATCCTAACAAGACATGACTGAAACTGAAAAGATAGAGAAAAATAATCAGAGGAGCAGAAAATGATGCTAATGGTGGCTCATGATTAATGGCGCCTGAGGGAGTGGCTTAGATCTACAGCTCAGGTGGGAGATTCTGTTTACAGGGCAACAATTAGCCGCACACGACACAACCATTCCTTCCTGGAGGAGTGGTAAAATGAAAGCCAAGTTTGAAGGGGAAAAAAAAAAAAAAGTTATAAGAACCTGTGTATGGTAATCCTGCAAAATCTGTTATATGCTCCAAAAGACATGAATTGGATGGAGATCCATCCTGCTATGGGACATCAAACCTCTACAGTCAGTACTAGACAGGATTGGTGTGGATCATTTTTACTTCTAATTGTTAGGAATATTATTATCAATGACATGTGAGTCTGTTAATACCTAATATTACCAGCCTGTTGTGTGTCAGAATGATTTCTTTTCCTAAGTGGATTATTGATTAGAACAGTTCTTCTGTCCTGATATACCGGATATATAGTTATCATCTTCATTATGTACATAACAGAGATTTGAGAATGAGATGGGGGCATAGAGTGTATCATTTTTAACAGTGAATTCTCTGTTTTTATCTGGGACACTGTGTAATATTTTAATAAGGCTGGAGCATTGGATGTCTCCTCATCTGCAAACATGTAAGATGTGATGATACGGCACACTGGATTTGTATAAAATGCATCTTTAATGGTGATTCAGGAGAGGTAAGCCTGATTGGTAAGCGCTGCCTTCTGTAAATCAAAGTAACTTCTTTGATCTGAGTAAGATTACAATTCTATAAAAACCTATTGTAATGTCTCCTGAATATTTAATGCATAAACATCATGAAGTGTTATTTAACAAGTTTGCTCAAAGTGATCTCTTCTGAAGAAAAGAACTGAAAAGAGAAAGCTTCAAGGTGTAAACACAGAGCTTTCCATAACATACTTCATAGGAGTTTACTAGTTTATGTTGGTTCAAAATATAAAATATATAATACATTAAAGTCTGGGGTTGTAAGCATTTTTTTTTAAGTTAAAAAGCAAGCATCCTTGCAATATGCTGCATGAGGCTATACATTTCATACTGTTTTCATTTTGGGTTTTTTTTTTAAACAGAACATCCATTTAGTGCCATCATACATGTTTAAATGGAAAGAAAACATGGTAATTACTTATCAGCAACACCCAGATCAGAGTCGATCTTCTCCAATCCCTGCACCATGTTGTCAAACTGCTCTCCCTGGTGACTGAGGACTCTCCCAGTGTCCTCCAGTCTTCTCTGGGCCCCAGCCACCAGTTTGATAAGCTCCCTTCCCTTAGAAGGTTGACACTCAGCCCCCCGAACCTCTGAGGTGGGGGAAAGGAGCCTTTCCCTCCAGAAATGCTCCAGCACGTTAAAAACCGCCAACCTGTTGGGTTTGAGGGAACCAAACCAATGTTTGACGTTTCCCTCCTCCAGCACAGTCAGGGTACTGAAGATGAAACTGGAGGACTCCATCTTTATCTCCATGATCCTGGATAGATGGAAACTGGCGATGCACTCCTTGCTCTGGCTTGAGATGAAGCGCACAATGGTCCTGGTGAGGGTCAGAGTTCCGCTCTCCCACCTCCTCTCACTGTTCATGTAATAAGAGGCAGGCCAGGTGTGGATGGGAGCATCCCGGCTCATCTTAAAGGCAGATGAGCGAGATCACCTAAGTAAAAGTCAAATTAACTACTGTGTTGGCATATATATGCTGGGGCCAAGTAAATGTAAATTTATATCACGACTTTGCTGTCTTTGGTAATCTGCGTTTCCTAATTGGGAACATCCTTCCTTCAAAGTAACCCAGGAAAAACGCTGACTTCCGGGGACGCTTCCAATCAGGCAGATTCGTTATTTTTCACCCGCACCTTTGTAATTAAATTACAATGCCTCTCTTAGTTCTAGATCTTTTTCTCGCAGTATACTGTACAGCGTAAACATTAGCCTGAGCATGGCGTTGCCTCGTTTTCTTCCTGTTTATGATGGAAGTGATGTCACACTCAGCTGTGAACGCTTGCGTGACCGTGTCCGCCATATTGCGAGTGGCTAGACAGCCCACTAAGACTTTTTTTATTGGAGAATCAAAGTATTACCAATGTCAAATATCAAAACAATTCTACAAAATTGTAAATTGAATATCTTAAGAAGCTGAGCACACTATGTTTAATATTACAAATAGAATCATACAGAGAACCAATATACAATTAGAAAACAAAAATATCAGATTGTAGAACAAAGTAATTGAATAAAAAGAAAAGGGAAAAAAACAAAACACAAAAGGACTCTTGAATTTTAAAGTAAATACTCAATATATTGCGTCATTGATCGGGCTTAGCCCACTAAGACTTAGGTTTTGTCATTTTGTATATAGTGTAAACAAAAGGAAATTTCGTTTAAAACAGCTCTAGACAATATCATTTTTTAAAGTGCAGCCTTGAAAACAGTAATAAATACATAAAAAAATAGTAATATAAACATATGACTGTATATTTACAATTCTAACATTTTTTTTTCCTTTTTTTAAGAATCAAAATGGTAGAAGCTTTCTTGATTTTATAACATTGTAGATTACTTTCGTCTAATACTGTTAAACTATTTTACTTTTGACAACTAGATATGAAGGTAAGAAATTCTGCATTAATCAATAATATTAAGTGCTGTTGTTAAGTCATTTAGTCATGTTTTTACCCTGGAAGTATATAAAAATAAATAATAATCCTACCACTGCTACTGCTAATATTACTAATAGTAATAATATCTTAATTGTAACTGGAAAACAGTTGAACAAAACATGCCACTCGCAACATGGCGGTGCGGTTGACGTAAGCTAATGGACACCCATAAGCAGCGTGCGTTCTTCTAGGTCTATGGTCCGCACGAAACAGTGAAAAGTCACGGTTCCTAGGACAATAAAGGGGGACAATAGCGGCTGTGACGGCGGTTGTATTTTTAATTTCGAATGAGCATTTGCAGCGTTAGCATTTAAGGAACGAAATAGTTGACATAACCAAAGTATCGGTGTTACATTGCGTCGTCGGGAAATAGCATTCATATGGTGATTTGTTGTCGTACAGGGAAAAAAAAAAAAAAGACAGCGCGTGAAATATGTATTTTAAATGTAACTAAATCGGACGTGGACGTATTTTAATTTTAATCTCGTCGATTGCTTTTCGGCGTAACAGTTTAATGCTAACGTCGGTAGCCAGTTAGCCGGGGTCTGGTTTAACACGATGGACAGAGACGCCTACCACAACTGCTGCAGCCTTGTCAAAATCCCGAGACAGTCCTACGAGCAGTTCTGGTCCTCTCATTTTGTTGACTACATAGACAAGGAGCTAAACTACTCTAAGTTTTTCAAGAAGTACTTGCTGCCTAATCACCCGTGCATGTTTTCTAAAAGGTTCACAGAGAACTGGAAGTGTAGGAAACAGTGGGTGACAGAGGAGGGGAAACCACATTTTCAGAACCTGCTGCAAGAGTTTGGTAAATAAGGATTTTTTTTTGAATAATCAGCTTGAACGGATACCATCATATGAACTTATATTCTTTAATTGCACCTTTTTTTATTACAGATGAGACTTCTGTCCCAGTTGCAAACTGCAATGCAAAAGAATACAATGCAAACCCTAAACAATTAATGCCATTTAAAGAATTCATACATTACTGGAAGGAGTACATCCAGAATGGACACTCTTCACCCAAAGGATGCCTCTATCTTAAAGACTGGCATATGTCAAGGTATAAAACTAATCGAAAATAATATAATTTGTGTCTGCATGTGTTTAGTGTTATCAAAATCATATTCTAACAGTAGTCTGACAGAGCAACAAAGGTCTAATTTATTTTTCTTAAAAGATGGCATGAAACATTTTACAACTTTGAAGATTGCTCTACTTTTCTGAGGTTGAACTTACTAGATGTCCTTTATTAGCTTGTGAATTTATTTTTATTCACACTAAAGGTAGCAGTCAGCCATGTCAATTAAATTGGTAAGAAATATTTAGCCTAGAAACAAACCAATCAAATAAACAAAGTTCGGAGTTTAAGATGCAAGTTATTACTTTTCTAAAATATAACCTAGGCTGAGTAGGTATGTTTATATTTCAATTGAATTTGATATTATTGGTATCTGAAACTAGATTATATGGTTTAAAAAAGGGAAATCCACTCCTTTCTAACGTAACAGAAAACATTTATATATATTAGTCATGATAGATTTAATGAGCCATGGTAATGTTATGAAAACATGGTTAATGTGCAATATTTTGAATTGTTCAATTGACTGATTGCAGCTGCAGATAGCCTAACTAACAAGATTCACCTTGCTATTCACTTAATATAAATATCAGGTATAAAAGTATTTGGCATGTTTAATTAGTTTAGCAGGAGATCCTGTCATTGATCTATCAGTATTATAAATATTAAAACTATTGAATATAGAAGCATTAGGTTTTGCTTCTCCGTCATAAAGGCAATTATGCCTAAATTTTCAGTTATCCAGCACTGATACACACATATCCAGGAGTCTCTGTCAATTCTGGCAGTTCGTACTAGAGCAAGTCGACAAATTGGACAAAGATCCCTTGATAGGTGTTTTAAAAAAAAAAAATGAACCAAACCAAGATGGGCTCTGATTTAGGCGTGTTTTGTGGTTAAAAGCAATAACGTTATATTTTTGAGCTAAAATATAAGTTACTTTGGGTTATGATACTATGAAAATCTTATACTGGCTAAAACCTGTTCTAGTGTTTCCAGCTGGTTATTTCCAGTTATTCATGTTAATATATTTCTACAGGGATTTTCCAGACCATAATGTTTACATCACACCAATATTCTTTTCCTCCGATTGGCTTAATGAATATTGGGATACACTGGATGTGGATGACTATCGGTTCGTCTACATGGGACCCAAAGGCTCATGGTAGAAAAATGTTCATTTATCATCTAAAAAAATAACTTGGCAAAGGGGTAACCTTTTTTTTAATTGTTCTTTTTTTTCCAGGACGCCGTTCCATGCTGATGTATTCCGCTCATACAGCTGGTCTGCAAATATCTGTGGGAGAAAAAAGTGGTTGCTCTATCCTCCGGGTCAGGAGGACTTTCTACGAGACACCAATGGAAACCTTCCGTATGATGTTACTTCAGCTGAACTCAAAGACAGAGGCCTTTTCCCACAGTTCGAAGAAGCATGCCAGCCTCTTGAAATTATTCAAGAGGCTGGTGAAATTATTTTTGTGCCAAGCGGCTGGTTCCATCAAGTTTACAATCTGGTAAGAGGTGGGAAAAAAAGTAATTTGATTCATTAGTTAAAACCGTATTGATTGATGACGCTGATATATTTAAAGTATTAATTTCTGTAAGCTTTGATTATGGCTTATGAGCTATGAAAAATACCATATTTATAAAGCACTTTCAACACCCAACAGGATCAAATTGCTATACACAATCATAAAAACAAGTGTATAAAAGTAATAGTAAAATAAAAAGCAATAATAAAATAAAAGAAATGCAGTAAGACAAAGTCAACATCTCAGATTGTGTTAAAAGCCAAGGAAAAGAAATCGGTCTTTAGAAGAGATTTAAAATCAGAAAGTGAAGAGGTCTGTTTAATGGCCAAGGGAAGGTCATTCCACAGCTTAGGGAGCTGCAACAGAAAAAGCACAGCCCCCTCGGAGCTTGCGTTTTGTCTTTGACATCCTCAGTAACAACTGGTCAGCTGATCTAAGGGAGCGTGAGGGTGTGTAGGGATGAAGCAGCTAAGACAGGTATGGACAAGGGCAAGACCATTAAGAGCTTTAAAAGGATTTTAAAAAATCAATCATAAAATGCACTGGCAGTCAATGTAATGAGGCTAAAATAGGGGAAATATGATCAATTTACTTGTACCTGTTAAAAGGCGTGCAGCAGCATTCTGTACACACTGAATCTGGAAAACGCATGAATCAACAATACCCTTATTAAGTGCATTACAGTAATCCAGCCGAATGGTTACAAAGGCATGGACCACTGTTTCAAAATGCTGAAGCGAAAGGATCTGTTTTAACCGCTAAATTTGTAATAATAGGTATAAATATTTGATTTCTCACAAATGCACAACTAAAAAAAATACACAAATATTTTCCTCCTCAACAGTATGTGTGTGTGCAAGTATTACCTGGTCAGGAGTAGCTGCGTGCATGCGGAAGATCAGCCCGCATCTTTGCTCGGATGTTAGGGAAACCCAGGTTGCTTCAGCAACAGCCTTTCAGCTGGTCTGCTGTCTCTCATTCTCCTCTTCCTCTTTTATCTTCATCATTATATCAGGTATTGATCCTTTTATCAAGGTTGATATTGCTCAGGTGCCTATAACAACATATATTCATGGCCCATCCCCAAACCTCCAGACTCTGACGTTAAACTCCAGAGAAAATTATTTGCTTACATTTTAGCCTGGAAATATTCTGTTCATCATCAGACTTTGGTGATTCTCTTAATTTTATCCAGGTTTCTCAGACTGTAAGCCATATTAATATTATGGAGTGGCCCAACCATATTTACCTTCTCAGCAACTAAGAAATAAACAATTGAAATGTATCACTAAGAATCTATTAGCTAACTTCTTAGATTGAACTAATGAGGTTATTTAACCCTTCAATGTTACTCTAAATAACTGACATGAACCTGTAGGTAAATATACACATTTGAATTGTTGATCTTTTGTTTCTAGGAGGATACTATCTCCATTAATCATAATTGGCTTAATGGCTGCAATATTGACATCATGTGGCAGTTCCTACAAAATGAGCTGTCTTCTGTTCAAAAAGAGATAGAGGAATGGAGAAACACCATGGATTCATGGCATCAGCATTGCCAGGTACTGTGTGAATGAGATTGTTTCTAAATATACGATTCAAATCATTTTTCTTAAAACTTAGTTGTGATTGTTGGCCAATTCTCTTTTCAGGTCATTATGAAAGCCTGCTCAGGCATTGATTACAGTGAATTTGCCTCATTTTTGAAGATCGTTGCTGAAAATCGGATGGCCTTTTTGAATGCCTGTTCCTCTGGTGATTCCTCCGATTACTCACGACATCTCTCAGAGACCCTCACCACCCTTGGACCTTACCACGCAGCGTTTGACCTACAGAGAGTCGCTCACATTATCGAGTGCCTGATGTGCAACGAGGACTTCAAACGTCTTGATCATTCAACGTCAAATTTGCAACTAGAGACCATGTTGCAACAGATCAGAGACACTATACAGGCCACTAGAGGGCAGCACCTCCTTTATCAGGAATAATGTGTCCATCTCAACAAAATCCACATTGAGTGAAAACTATTATAATAAAGCAAATGGGTTCACTGCTGTCTGAATTCTTGTCTGCCTGAATTTTGCATTTGCACTGAAAGATGATCAAACACGAATAAAAGTAGTGTTTGTGTTACTTTTAATGTCTTTTTTTTTTATAAGAATCGATGCTTCAACACCTTTATATTTCTATACATGAATACTAAATTTTCAATAGATTAAGAAATGGAGATATTAGAAAATAAGAGAAGCTTTCCAAAGCAATTAAACTCTTCTTGAGGGTTTTGTCTGTCTTAAATATGTCAGCTCTGATATGCGTCACATTTCGAGGAGCAACAAAACATCCTCTTCAGTTAATTTTTACGTCTGTAGGCCACCAGTCTGGCACAGAGGCCTGAAGTGTCACTGTTGTGTCGTCGGAGGATTTCAGCGTCAACACTTCTTTGGCATGAGCGGTGCGAATTAGGCTCAGACCCAGCTCCCCGACGCCAGATCGATGTTTACCAGCTGGTTTGCCAGACTGCGTCTGGAGCGTGGCTCCTTCCCCGAATTGTTGGACTGGAGATGAGAAACGTACTGGCATGAGGCGTTTCCGAATTACCCCAGTGTGATGAGTCCTGGCCGTGAGCTCCTGACCGATGTAGCACCCCTTGCTGAAGCTGATACCCTGCATGAAGACAAGGTTAGACTCCAGTGGTAGTGCTACTCCAGGGGGAAGATCATTTACTCCCTCAGGAAGTCCTACGTGGTACGAGAGAGAAAAAATAAATGCCATAATATCAACAATATATATATATATACTCATCTGACTCCTCAAATCATTTATGCTTATGTGATAAAAACTGGACACTCAATTGTAGATCATACCTATTGAGTAGCGATGTCTGTGGTAATCTTCTGTGTCTCCTTTCTGACAAGATGAAATGATCTCTAAGGGGTCGACCTGACTCTGCATGACCAGTCTCCACCCCATTTGCGCAGTTCGGGGATCAGCCTCCCACACCAGAGCTTTTCCAGGGTCAGATAACTCAGGTTTAAATGTGTCTTGATTTGGGCTTCCTTGCTGTGAAAGTACTGCCCACACCGACAGCTCCGGACAGAGGCTGATGTTCACCTTTCGCCGGATCTTGTAAACCTTCAAGTGTTTTAGCACTGAGCTCTCAACCATGCTGTCACACTCAAGGAAAACGCCATGTTCTCCTCCTCCTTTCAGACTGAAGGAAAATAAAACAAATTAGGTTTAAGTGTAAAAAGTCAATTCACCGTAAAATGTGAGTTAAACATGAGTTGCAGTTATTTTGCCAAGGTAAAGACTATATTTTGACACAGTATGTGCAGATTTCATAGAGGAACAAGCATGCCTACTAGAAGAAATGGGAAACTAAAAATGTGTTAAACAATTTTCTTTCAGAAAGTAATTTTTTCTTATGCTTGCTGGAATTCAAGTCTTCTCCATTTCCTGTAATATGATTCGAAAAGAACAAAAGCTTGCATGACTTGCTAACCTCATTACAAACTAAGGGTATCCCAGGGCTTAGTAGCCTGTAGAACCATGAAAACAGCATTAGAGTAAAATACTGTCATACTGCAATTAATAACATATTTTGCTTTTAACTAGAAAGAACTGTGTACCTCCAAACAAGGTGTGTGTTGTAAAAAATGTTGTATCCTACTTAGCTGAGCAAAATACCTTATATTTGTATTAGTACTGCAACTACAGAGTATTTTACAAATCGATTAATCTGTCAATTATCTTTTCAATTAATCGATTAATAATTGGATAGCCAAAAGTGAAGATTTTTTACTAAATTATACCACTGAAAAAAATTTTTTTTTCACTTTTGGAGTTCTGGATAGAGAATATTGACAGATACATGTTTTCATCTTAAGTGAAAAAATGTTTACATAATTTACTTTTACAATTTTGGTATAATTGCTGCTCATTGTGGGATGCTCTGTCAGCTAAAGGCAAGTATAAGTCTCTATATTCCAGTTAATGATTAATAGTTGACGATTATTTCAATAATTAATCACAATGAATCTAATTAATTTTTTCAACCCTATTTTGTATGTTTGGATTTTCTGCCTGATGACAGCGCAGAGATGTTCACCAGTTTCTTCTCTCAGGTCCAAGTCTCTGTACACTTGATAGACATTTTGCTTTTTTCTTTAACCAATTCTACATGAAGGTATTTATCTTTTATTAAAACTTCCTTCAAGCACTTCATTCATTAGTATGTCTCACTGGATAGGACATCCCGAATCAGCCACTAGAGCTAGAGTTGTCAACAACACTATGCTATTCTAATTTAAGAGTGAGCAAGGATCCCTTATTTATGGTTTGTTTTTACAAAATATGTCTCTAATTAAAGCATGTACATTGTCATGATACACAGAAATGTTTACTCTGCCTGACCATTAATCAATAAGTAGTGTTGGAACTACAACTGAATGATTTTTTTTTTAGTTATGCAATTTTATTCAGATTTTCCTTTGCACTAACCACAAGCATGTACACAGTTTTATTTCCGTGGCCTTGAAAGTTTGCTTGTCCAAAGGCCAATGTCAGAAGACTTAACTGTTATTGTTGTGTGGAAAAGTGTTTATTTCTGCTCTCATGCGTGGATCAATATGCCAGCTGCATCTATGGTTGTGTCCCAAGTCAGGGGCTTTGACCTTTGAAGCACCCAGTCCAAGTAGACATGCATCCTCTCCGAGAGTTTCATATTATGCAAGTTGCTAATAAGATAAAATATAATTTAAAAAATACCTCGGATCGGCCAAATAAAGGAGTCTTTAAGAGCAAAGCTGTGTTGTGATCATTCTACAAACAGCCTTCAAAGCATGAACCCCTGACCAGGGTTGGGAGCGATTTCTTTTAAACTTGTTCTAAGCTGTCTGAGCTTCAGTGAGCTGATGACAGTCTTAACAGCACGGTTTTCACAGGGCTTCTCCCATGTCAACAAGTAAGGAGGTAAATGTGTTTAAAAACACAGTGTTTCATTATGCTTATTACACAGCACAGTTCAGTTGTAATTAATAGTTTCAGCTTAACCAGCGTTTGTCCTCCTGACTGGTGCATAAAAAGAAAAATGAGTGTATTAGCCTGATTCTCAGCATGGCTTTTGGAGTGTAACGGACCACTATACTTAAATACGCTGGCGAGTAAACATAATGCATTCATAAACTTTACTAATAAATGACTAAGCTTGACTAGAGGAATCGTTGTTTTTTCTATAATTCAACCCTATTTCACAATGTAAAATCCAGTGATATAAAAATCAATGGCCTCATTCATAGAGCATCAGCAAAAACTGATCTACACTATCAAATAATACCCGTTTTACACCCAATACAAAAAAGCATTAGAAAGAAATTAACACCCATTAAAGTTTATTTTCAAATGAGTGAGATAGGAAATGCTTTAGAGATCACTTATTGGTGGCATTCGTTCATCCTTTTGAGGTTTGGAGCAATTTTTCCTTCTTTATAATAAGGACTTTTAACATAATTTCTAAAATAGGCCTTTCAGATTTTAAACCAGTTACCGGTATATCTAAACAGTAAACATGTTTCACCATTCTTATAAGCCAAGGTTTGAGTCTGTAGAGTTTTAATTAATCTCAGGCCCATAATGTTTGACTAAATGTGTCTTGACCCCAAATCTAAAGTTCCACTCCACATTTTAATCAGCTTAAGACTGGACTCAACTGGACTTTGATTAGACCAAAGCAACACATTGATACTTGTTTACCCATTCTGTTGTAGAAATGCTGGCCTATTGGGACCACTGTCCTGTTGATAAGCCAATTAAGATAAGCTTTAGCTGCTAAGATAGTGCTTTGGTAAACAAAGTTAAAATGTAAATAATAAGGAAGAATAAAAAATAAAAATCGTACTTAATTTTATTTATTTTCTTTTTTTTTAAATGCATATAATCAGAATGTAAATACCTGCATCTATATAAATAAAAATAAATAAAATACACCTGAAACATTTTATTGCATAATAAATAATCAATAATTACATTGAAATACTCTCACTGTGGTGCACTGGTGTTTGTCACTTTAGTGTTCAAATTTTGTTCCAGTCCAAAGCCACGACTTGCGCTTCTGCATTCTACTGATAATTTGTGAGGGATGTGCTCTGTTTCTTATCACAATTTAGCAATAACTTGGCTTATTTTCTATAAACTGAATTGAATTGTATGACATGAGATCAAAGAATAACTAAAGGGATCAGGGCTAAGACAATTAATCGGATTAATCGTGATTAATCCATTATTGAAATAATCATCAACTAATTTAGTAATCAATTAATCGTTACCTGGAGTATGGACTAGGGGTGCAACAAACGATTGTTTTGCAAATTTATTTATCTGTCAATTATTTCTATGATTCATCGATTAATAATCCGATAGCCAAATTAGTCTATTAGTATAGACTCGAAAACATGCCATTAGCAGACAGAGCAACCCACTTAGAGCAGTAATTATAGCAAAATTGTGAAAAATATATTTTGCATTTAAGATTAGAAAACCTTTTTCTGCTGTCAATAGGCTGGATCCAGAACTCCACAGTTGAAAAGTTTTAGTTTCCCCTGGTTTAATTCTGTATAAAACCTTTAAGGAATCTTTTACTATGCAATTATTGATCAAATAATCGAAACAAAGAAAAAATATCCGGTAGATGCAGCCCTAAAAAGGAAGCAAAAGCAGGAAGAAATTAAGAAATAAATGCATATTGTAAATGATATTGGAGTTTTTAAAACTTTTGGTGTTTAAACTTACACTTTGCATCCCGTTGTGCCTGTTCAGTCTTTGATATTCATAACATTTAAACCTAAAGAGTATTTTATTTGCACAAAGCTGTTGCTGAATTCTCAGATATTAAAGATACTAACTGCTCCATCACATACAGTAAATTTGGGTTTGTGGTTAAAAGGGAGGTGGATAATTTTTGCAGACCCAGTAGGCCTTTAAAATAAGAAAGTATCAAATTGGTAATTGTTAATAAAATAAAGAAGCAACCCTTTCTCACCTGTATAACAGGATGTCATACAATGTTCGTCCCTGAACATTCAGCATGTGTGAGTACATGGCAGCGCACTCAGGCTCCTCCAGCAGCTTCATGTCATTGGTTATAATTCCCTGTAGAAACGGGCTTGTGTCCTGGCCTTCAATCTTCAACAGGGTTCTGTGCGGAAGGGGGTAACAAACAAACTGACCGCGACCATTTTTCTCCGCGCCCTGGCTGTACTGTTTGACCCGGATCCTGGTTTGAGTCGCAGCTCCCAAGAGAAGCGTAACCGACAAACTGCTTCGTTTTCCCGTTTTAAAGCCCAGACCGCTAAAAGCTCCACGGACAAAACACAAACCTGCCATTTTATACGGTTACATTGGAGTGTGGTGGTATATGAATCTGTGAATAACGGATTACATCAGTGTTATCGATAACTTAACATCTTACGTCAACACGGTGGGCGCCATTTTGGTGTCCCAGCATACTTTGCTCGAAAGTTGTTTTTGCTGAGAAGAGTTCCGTCTCTCTTTTACGAAATCCACTTGAAATTAGTTAGAATAATCAATTATATATCCATTATTATTATCAATTATATATTTGGTAGAATGCCAAGATTTCGACACAAAAAATGAGACCTGTTGTGTGAGATCTTTTTTGTACCACTTTTATTGTGACATTTCTACTGTATAATTTAACAGAAAATCAAAAGCAAGTAGTATGTGATATATGAAAAAAGGAGCTGCAAATAAAACATGTATTTTTTCCCCAAAAGCACTCAGACCATTCATAATTTGAGGAGATTTTACAATAAGCATATACTCAGTGGATTAGATATGTTCCAAACACATCAACATTTGTTTCATATGAGTATATGTCATTGTATTGACATGAAATTAACACTAGTTGTCAGGTACAAACCTAACTGTCCAAAGAGAAATAGTCTACAAATAAAATTATGGGTAGAAAAAATTATTATAATAAAGGAATGACATGCTTTGTAATTATTGAACACTCAAATTAAGGGTTTCATTGGTCCTATATTTTAAACCTATTGCATTACTTGACAATGGAAATTCTGTTTGTATTCAGATTTATATGCCCTGATACATTTCTGCATTTATCTGTATGTCAGTACTGTATGCTTTAAGATAGTCCACATCATGACTTAAATGACTTAAAACCATTATATAAAACCATGATATTTTTGGGTTAACCATTCCTCCAAACATTTCTAATAAAGTGCCCCAAAAAATGTTCAGGACTTATCTAATTGACTTTGTAATGTTGGCTTTCCCAAAACCCTACTGCAAAGTTTAAACAAGCTTCATCAGGTTGTTTGGGCAGTTAATGTGTATAAGGCCATGCTAGCTACACCTACTTTTTTCCAGGTCTCTCTGATGTTCTATGTGAAGGCTCATTGGCTCTTGTGGACTTATGGACAACTCTTTTGGTTATTCTTTGACTCGGGTGTCAGGAATCTTACAAGGGGAACTTGGTCATGGCTGGTTAATGGTGAAATGATGTCCCTTCCACTTCCACTTTATGGCTCCTTCTTTTCCATCTCCAGATTCTGGCTCCACCAGCGCTCACTGGAAAATTCAAAAGTTTAAAAACGCAGTTGTAAGCAATGCCATTAGTATCGTTTGCAACATGAATACTTTTTGTGAAGGTCTCTGCTTTTAGCAATTGTGTTATTCTTTGAAATACTTTGGTTTGATGGAACCCTTTATAGGCCATTAGTTATTATCAAAGCAACTGATACTCATTTGCACATAGCAGGAGGAATGCTTTCTAGATAATGTTTCTTGCTTGTTTTTCTGGTGTTAAGTAATTATTTCCTGTAGCATTCTACAGCATCGAACATATGAAGTAAGAGATTGTTTTGATTTGGGGTGTGTGTGTGGATTACTTTGGTGTTTCCAAACTATACATCAGATTTTAATTTCAGATAGACAGAAAATACTTTTTAAAACTTATTTTACCCACCATACTTTATTAAACCACATTTTGATTAATTTCCAATCTTAAGTCCTCTTATCTTTTGATGTGTAAGTATCTCATACGTGGCCGGATTTTCTTCTTAAAAGCTTAATGCCAAAACTTATCTGGATTCATAGCAAGTTATTTCTGATTTAATTTACCTTGAAAAATGTTTTCGTCACATTTGAAAAAAAACCACAAAAAAACACCCGAGACCATGATGCTGCAACCACCATATTTTACTGTGCATGAGGTTTTCTCTTGGTGACCTGGTGTGTAAGTGCAACAAGATAGACTGCATTTGTGGCAATTTTAGTTTGGTTGATAATTTTTTATAAACAGTTTCATAGTCTACTCATATTTTAAAATAATTGATTTGCTGCATGATTATAATCTCATCAGAATTAACAATTGATTGTTTGTCCCGCCAAAGTATTTGATTTATAATGAAAGTAGGAATGAAACAATTAATCGGATTAATCCTGAATAATTGATTATTGAAATAATCATCAACTAATTTAAAAATCCATTAATCGTTAACTGAAGTATAGACACTCTAAAACATGTCTTTGGCTGACAGAGCAACGCTTTTAGAGCAGTAATTATACCAAAAGCATTCATCTTAATCTTAAAGGCATTTTGCCTTTAAGAATTAAAACTTCAAAACTCCTCTAGTGGAAAAGTTTGAGTTTCACCTGGTTTAATTAATTAAAAAGTCTTCTTAAAAAAATCTTTGGCTATCTGATAATTAATCTAAATGTATTGAAAAAATAATCAACAGTTTCAGCGTGCAAAATAGACGTTAGATGAAAGACAAAGTGGATATAAGTGCTTGCAGCTATAATTAAGTCCTGTTATTGGGAACAAAGGAAGAGCTGCAGTAAAAAGTAGATGAGCGAGTTTTTCTGTGTTGTGATTGTGTTAGATGCTGATGAAGGTTCTCAGTCATCCAGCTTTCTCAATTGAATTGAGATAGCTTCCTGGAGAGGTGGCGAAACGTCTTCAAATCTTGAAAACCAAGTCCAGTGGATATTTTTTGAATTTTTACGGAATGATTGTGTTAGGATTATTACCGTAGTAAGGATTTTTCAGTGACGTTGGAACATCTTTGGAAAGCTTAGGCACTTCACTATTTTATGCAATTATGCATGCACAAGATTATTCTCCTTTTTATTGTACTAGCAGGGTCATGTTTTCTTTCTCTTTTGGCTCCCCTTGAGATGATAATCTGTTAATGGCTGATCGGCTTTTTGACACCAATGCAGTCAGCAAGCCTTTTGCCACTACAAAGCTCAGCTTGCCTCAAGTTTACAAAATAAAAATTCTATTATTCAGAATCTGAACTGATTCTGTCCTCAGCAACATACTGTAGCAACATAGTACAAATCCTAATTATCTTCACCATTAAGAACTGTGAACTTTCGTTCAGGCCCCTCAGTTTTTCTCAGTATTATTTTGAAGTCAGTCGAATCTAGACAAGAGTAGATATATGTCAATAGCAGCCTTTGGAATTTACCCCAAATCTGTTAGTTGTTTGCCAAGTCGTTAATTTAATATAAATATAAACAATTAAACCACCTGAAAAAAATACTAAAACAGTATATATTGTATATATTTTGGGTCAAATACTGTATGCAATGATTTGTGAAATGGCTAAAGTTTTGGTTTCCCTCAGTTATGATGCTTCTTAGAATCAATTGTTTTAAAACTGTTTTCTGACCGTTTTATTTCTATTTTATTGCTTTCACATCCACCATGTTTTAAAGAGTGTCTTCTGTTCTGTTACATCCATTTGGCAGATTTGCAGTGCCTTTAAATAGTATTCACATTTATACATGTTATCACATTAGAGCTACAAGCATCAATGTGACCAATAGATACAGAAAATGGTGCAGAATATTGAAGTGCAACAAAGAGGATACATGACTGTACACGACTCTGCAAATTATCTAACAGCTGTAGTGCTGGCCAATGGAGGACAGCATTGATCAGAGAAGCAGTCATCAGGTAACTGAGGACGAGCTGCATAGTCCTCTCTAAAAAAAAAAAACTGCCTTTTAAGCAATAGTTGTTTAAAGAAAGGCTCTTTATGTTTTAAAATTGTTGAGAAATAGCCTGAAAAATTGTTTCCTGTAAGTGGGTATAAAAACTCTTTGGAAAAAGTATTAAGCCGGGATAGGAAACCTAAAGGCATGCCACACTTTTCAGGTTTTATTTGTAAAAAAAAAATAAAAACAGAAAAGTGTCTAATTGTACAATATATTTCTTATGTGAATACTATAATTTAGCAAACCCAATATCTTCAGTTCCTTTGTTTATCATGATCTCTTTTTCTGATGAATGAATAAAGACACACTTTTAATGTCTGCCTGACTATAAACCAAAGCAAGTCTTTTGGCATTTGATGGGTGGATCAATTTAATTTTATGGAAAGTATGCTGAGTCGATCCAATTTCTAAATAAATGTATATTCTTCTAAATGTATAGGTGCAATATGTCATAATATCAGCAGTTTATCACTTTAAGCTGTAGTAATTTTGAATGTTTGCGATTGTTGAAATCAGTTTTTAATGACTTCAAGAAATTGCTTTATTAACGGATTCTGGTATTTTTGAACAGATAAATAGTTTTGGACTTCAAGAGGCCAACTTACTTAGAGTTTCTAAGTTTAGATTGGAGAGCTTGTGTTCCTAGAGACATGCCCTTGTTTGGGCAATAAGTCACTGAAGCATACTGAGCTACTAGACATCAGGATGTTTTGAGATTTCAATTTAATTAATTAACCAAATTAATACGAAAACAGACTTTAAGAATTGGAGGCACTTTGAAAATTGAAAGCAGTGAAGGCAGGATTCCATATTGCTCAAACATTTCAGTAGCAGAGATAAATTGAAAATATAAATCCAACTGAATTTAAGGTAAGAGTTTAATGAATGATCAGTGATTGGATTTCTGTCAGAAATATGACTGTACCTGTTCAAGTTCCCAGCTATAAATAATGGATAGTCTTCTCACAGGATATTGGTATTTAGTAAAGAAAGTTGTTACAATATGTATTTATTTTCTGTTTTATTTTACATAACCCTTTTGGAAAACTGTAACACAGAGATCAGGGCTTTGCACGAATGACTGAAGATCAACACTGTGCAAATGTTTCCTAAAAAAAGTCTTTACCGCTTCTCGTCACAATTGAAGAAATTGTTATTACATTGCTTCTACCTCCAAAAAGTATGTATCTTAATGTAAAACACATATCTTTAGATTGATAATAGTCTATGTAAAAACAAAAAAAAGTGCTATTTAAGTGCTTTACTGTCCGTTTTTCACTACGATAGCTAACATTTAAAGCTTTGTTTCTCCACATAAATCAGTCAGTTTTCATTGGAGACCATGTGTGTCATGAAGTTTAGCTGGAATTAAAGATGCTAAGCTAAGCAGGTATATTTTGTTAACTATAATCAACATCTACTCCTATGAAATGATTCATTATTTTGAGTTTGATCTCTGTGTTTTCTGCTTTTTGTGTTTTCAGAGACTAGAGCATTAGTGCCCCTAGATCCTGCTGTCCATAGTTAAATCTCTTCATCCTTTATTACAGTTTTGTAGTTTATTAGTTTAATGTCAGTTTCCTATAATAGTTGAATCTTTATATCCATACAGAGGTCTTTACATTTTTTACGATGGTCGTAGCCTTGTCTGTAGCTGATCTTGGTCTTGCTCCTTGCTTCTCTTGGACAGTATTGACTCGATTTTGTTCTGCCACAGTTCCCCCAGAAACAGGGCTGCTTGTTCTGGAGGTCTGCTGTGTGTTTTTGATCTGATAGGTTTGAAAGGCCATATCCAGCTGCTCCTGTGCAACTCTTAGGTGCCGATGCAGGCTTGCAAGGTCGGAGGGGATGTTCTCGTCCGGGCTGGTGCACTGCTGCTCCTGGGCTACGTTGGCCATGTTTTGCTCATGGGGGATAAGGCTGTTGGGAATCCTGCTGGGTTTGTCTGTTTTCATTACAAGGTTGTACCCAGGTGGCGAGGCTGTGATGTTGCGTGAAAACGGATAGCCATAGGACCCGGGACGTCGACCACGGTTTCTCTTCATGTGAAGAGTGTCCCGAAATGTGCCGATTCCCAAGTGAAGCATCTCACAGACATTCAGCACGAGACAAAGACAGCTCACCACATACATAATGAGGAGGAAGATTGTTTTCTCTGTAGGTCTGGAGATAAAACAATCCACTCTGTGTGGACAAGGTATCCTGTTGCACACGTAGGAAGGATTCACTCGAAATCCATATAGGAGATACTGTCCCGCCAGGAAAGCAATTTCAAAAATAGCTCTGGACATTAGCTGGAGAACGTAGATTCTCATTAGGCCTTGTTGCAGGATTTTTCTGCGCCCATCATGTTTGGGTGGATCTTTGCCAGTGTTGCTAACAGGCTGCACTTTGCTATCATGAACCTCAAGTGCATCTTCATAGATCATGGGCTCAGCATCATCATCTTCCTCCTCCTCCAGGTCACCCTCAAGAGGTTGACTTTCTCTCCATCTTGTATGAGGCGGCCTTTTGTGGAGTCTTTGGTGTTTCCTGCGCTCAACCTCTGAGGATCGTGCTATCTTGTGGATGGCGTAGCCCATGTACATGATAGAGGGAGTGGAGATCATGATTATCTGAAAGACCCAGAACCGAACATGTGAAAGAGGGGCAAAGGCATCATAGCACACGTTGTCACAGCCCGGCTGCTTAGTGTTGCAGGTGAATTTAGTCTGCTCATCAGAGTAGATGGACTCTCCTCCTACGGCTGTGAGTACAATGCGAAAGATGATGAGCACAGTGAGCCACACTTTCCCCACAAATGTGGAGTGGTTGTGGATCTCCTCCAGAAGTCGGGTAAGGAAGCTCCAGCTCATGTTGCTCCTACAGGCTTTAAACTACAATCTGTAAAACAAACAATGACATTTTAAAAATTTAACCAACATTTCTGGATCTAAACCACAGTTTTAATCTTGAGGGGGAAACATATTTCCATGGTCACCTTTGATGATTATTTCCTCAACTAAGTAGATCTAAAACATTTTGAAAAGCTTTAAATATAGCTTTATAGAGTGCAGCTTATTAGACTGATCATTAAATAAACAATTGAACTAAAATAAAAGTGACATTTGAGCAGTCCTATGACCAATCCCCTTTACCATTTAAGAAATTACTTGACTGCAATTAATAATGAAATAATGTGCAAAGATTTGAGTACATAGTCATGTAAAGGTATGTTTAAGGCACAAGGTACAAACTAGAAAGGCAAAAAATAAAAAATAAAATTCTCAGGAGTATATAGCAAAGGGGAAAAACCAACATATACATCCCTGTATTTTACCATTGAAGACAAAGATGAGAGACACTTGAAGAAAATACATGATAATCTCATAAACAGAGAATTAAAATAGTGTTGAAAGGGAGAAAATATAAAATAGCCATTTTTTTGTGTGTTTTCACAAACATTTTGGGCTGTGGAAATCATTATAGGTGTGTCAGTAATAATCAAACAGTAAAACAAACCTTTATAGAAGCAAGAAGGAGCTTCAGTAGTGGAAAGATAATTAAAATATAAAAGGTGACTTTGTGTTACGCTTTTGAGTTTTTAGCTCCGTCATGAAAAAATCCATAACGGATCTCAAAATATTAGCAGTTGGATACAAGTTACAGATATATACAATGTAGATGTTACACAGAGAAGCTGCAGTGATTCTGATTCACTTACTTCTAAAATGTTTTTTTTCAGCATCTTAGAAACAAGCAGTTTGCTTTTATGTACATATTAATGTTGCTCTGATATTAATGATATCCCTGAATAAAGGGAAATCATTCACATGCAAATAATAGTAGCATTCCAGACTACAATAGGACAAAAGCAAACAAAATATTTGAGTGAAGAATATTAGATATTGCATATTTGCATTCAGACACTGGAATCAGATCACATCCTGTGGAATGTGGAAAAGAGCATCTTCACAAAAATTATAATTCTCTTCAGTATATTGCAGGGGTACAATCCTTGCTGCATAGAGAGACAACACTTCTACTAAATAAGATTAGCAGGTGCCTTAAAGTGCTGTATACAAAAAAGACACATTAGGGAAAGTACATTGCTCTAAAAAATAATAGGATCATTATTGTATAGTGCTATAGGAAAATAAATAGGATTTAAAACTAGCTTAAAAAAGTTTGTCTTTAATGATTACAGTTCAGCAGTCTGATGACTACTTTTATGATATAGAACAAACTTTTTTACAGTACTTAATATATTTCTGAAAATTAATTTTAAATCACAGGTTATTTGCATTAGAAAGAAAGAAAGAAAGAAAGAAAGAAAGAAAGAAAGAAAGAAAGAAAGAAAGAAAGAAAGAAAAAAAGAAAGAAAGAAAGAAAGAAAGAAAGAAAGACAGAAAGAAAGAAAGAAACTGAACCCAAATGAATTGAATTTTTAGTTTTTAAGTTATAATGAAAAGTCATCTTCTTTTTAAAAAAAGAACCCATAAATGGAGTCAAACCACAGTTACTTGATCTGCTACGCATGGAAGTATTTGCTTTCATATCCCCATTAAAGATAAGATAGCTTCAGTTCAGAGCAATTTCTGTTTTCTTGCTTTCATTGAATTGCAAACATATGGCATTCTTTTGTTTACCTCAAAGGGATTTTGCAATGTAAAAGATTGTCTTGAATTGAATGCTTGGTAACGATAGAAGAAAATTACACACAATAGCAAAGAAAAGATTAAAAGACAAAGAAAAAGCCCTTCATCAGATACACTACTTAAGAATCATTGTCATAATTGAAACAGACCAAAGAGCACCACACCCTCAGAAACAGAGAACATGCCTAAAATCAAATACTAATGATTTGGAATAGGTGACAAGACCATTTTTGAATCAAAGCATGGTTTGTTCGGCATGCTTTGGCACAATATGCCGATTGTCACGCAGGAAGAAAAAAAGGATGACATAAGATGGCATAGGGTCATACTCTCCTCAGAACCAGCATCCCTGCAGAAGTGAGGCAATGAGATAGCTAAGGACTTTTATCCGATATACAGAACGAAAGAGTCCGCAGTGATCTCATGACTGTGATACTGTACTGCCCGTGTTTGATGTGCCATCTACCCAGTGAACAGTAGAGGATTGTTGCTCCAAACACCAGGCCTCCACTCCTCTTCCAGTCCTCCCAGTACAGGAGATGGTCAGATGTCCACAACAGTCTCAGTCTCAAAGATACTATTCAGGTTTTATTCACAACAGTTTTCTTTCATATCATCAGTTTGCTGATGTGTTTGATTGTTCTTTTAATAAATATATTTCTTTATCGTTCTTTTGATCAGACCTAAATTTGTTCCAGCATTTTAGCAAACATAAATTAAAAGCAGGAAACTTGTAGCATCAAAAAGTTAAATTGTAATAGAAAGACATGTAAAGAAAATTATTTCCCACATAAATCCCACTTGATTTGTGTGGGATACATCTTGACTTTTAACATATATGCATCTTTATTTTTTGGTTTATTAAATATCACAAATGTTTAAAAAAGGTAGTGTAGACTGCAAATGACACTACCCAAAAAAATGCATTTTGACTGCTTAATACTACCCACAGTTATCGGCTCTGATATATAAAACTTAAAACAAAGGTAAAGGGAGCAAGAATCTATAATTATTAAATAAATAAGTATAAAAATCCAATGAACATTAACAAAAAATGAGATCAAAACTTGTTATATGTTTTAGTAAGTTTGTCAAAATTAAAAATGTATTTTTTATTTTAACTTATTTCTATTATAAGGATTAAATCAAAACAAATTAAACAATTTACAAATCTTAAAAAACATTGAATAAAAAAGAATTGTTATTTGCATGACAAAAAAATAATCTAGTTGTAATCTTGTACCATAAACGTTTAACAAAATATATATGTCAATATTTCAGAACCACACATCGTGAAATAAATGATCATATTTACGTAAAACCTCATTAAAACCCTTGTAGTGTATAAATGTATATTTGAAGTTTTACTAATTTCTCTACATTTAGCCTATCTATCTATCTATCTATCTATCTATCTATCTATCTATCTATCTATCTATCTATCTATCTATCTATCTATCTATCTATCTATCTATCTATCTATCTATCTATCTATCTATCTATCTATCTATCTATCTATCTATCTATCTATCTATCGATCTTAAACATTTGGAACATTAAAGTTTACAGAATATCTTTGCAAAAATAAATTGTGGGTAAAATGATGTAACTAATGCAACTCACCTGAAAAAGTTGCACATGCATTCCCATTTCTGCAGTCCTCTTTTTCCCACACTCTTTATTTCTAAACAGACTGATCCACTTTTCATCCTAACAGACCTTCTTTTAAAAAAATCCAAATTAACTAAAAAAAACTGAAGTTGGAACTTTCTTTTCTTGACTATAATTCTCTTTCTAATCCTGCTATTCTACTCTGCGAAGAAGTGAGGTCTCGCCGCAGTGGATGGATGCCTCACATGCTGGCTTGTGTCTGGTTTCTATTACACCAGCCTTCTGCCCAAGAAGGAAGTATAAAAAAAAAATAAAATCATCCTCTGGCAAGTGATCCTCATCCAAGGGTTCAGACTTGAGGCTATTGTACTGCAGATTGAAATGAACACCCGACTGAGGGAACGTGTTATTTGCAACACAGACTAACCTCCCCCAACATTCATGAGCAACATTTGTAACACATGATGAGCTTCCTCTCTCTCTCTTTCTCTTACTTTATCTTACTCTTGATTCTTCTGTTCTTGTTCCATGCTATCATACCTTCAAAGATGTAAAAATAGTAATAGCTTACTGAGACAATATCGCTGCTTTTAAGACTTCCCAAATTGTTCCTAAGGAATTTTTGCATCAGTGTCTCTCTAATTTGGTTACAGAGGGTGCACAGTGAGGTACCACAGTTGCAGATTGCAGCCTCTTTATTATCTTTTGATTACATAAGAGTTTACAGTGGGTGATGGCTATGAAGAAGTAACTTCATAGCCATGAGAGAAAGACGGGGACTTTGAGGACAGAACTGTCACCAAGACACAAGCCACCTTGCCTCAGTGCGGATCAGCTAAAATATAACCAGCAGGTACACTCAGTCATGTCAAGTGTCATAATATTTAGATCTTTCATCCCGGCAGATGGCCAGATTACAGAAAAGTGAACAGATCTCACTATGCATTCCCGCAACACCCCTTCTCCAACTTTGGGTTTACAGTTTTAGCTGTCAACTTCATCTGTTGTATCACAACAATCTACAAGATTATATATTTTATATATATATATATATATATATATATATATATATATATATATATATATATATATATATATATATATATATATATATATATATATAGGGCAGAGAAGAAGGAAAACTGATGGAAAAATTAAAATTGGAAAACATTACTTCATTCTATGTGCCAGAACTTGCTGTCAGATTTTGGAAAGTAAAATTATGTTGGAACAGAGGACAGATAAATGTCTTAGTGTCTGGTTTGCATTAATGACACAAGCCTGGTCATTGTCACAGTGATTGTTTTACAATGTTGCTTTCACATGGCCCTTGGTAATCTTTTCACTTTATTATTTATGTGGTTATAAAGCTAAGAATAATACTCAACAATTCTAGTTTGCTTACATCAATAAGATAATAGCTCGAAGAGTAAGTATTTTAGTTAGAGAGACTTCTAAAAGTAGTCATAGCCCTTGAGCCTTTTCAGATTTTGTTACATTCTACCACAAACTTTTATATTTTTTATTTGGAAGTTATCATGTAGTCAAACCAACATAACAGCATTGATTGAAATCTCTACAGATGAAAAATTACTGTAAACAAAATTTGAGTCTAATCAAAATTTTACTGAATTTAGGTCTTAAATTTGGACTAGCCCAGATAGAAAATGAGTTGTCATGAGCCTACTGGGATTCAAGGATCAACAAGGATGAGGTCTTAACAATTAAATATGATATAATTTATGTTATATTTATATATCATATATATAAATGTACTAATAGAGTAAGCAATTTGAAAAGCATTTTTTTAACTTTGCCTTTTTCACTTAGATTTTTGAATTGCAAGCACATATTGAAGATTTATTGTTTGCAAAACTTGCTATAGATATTGAATTACTACTACTACTAAGAAAAGTACTGGTTTAATCAGTGGGTGGGGTCATAAATCCATTAAATTAAATATTGAAGTTTAAAGACACTGTAAACACAAAATTTCAAATGAAAGATGGAGCCTAGGGAAATTCAACTGAAGAAACTTCTTGTTTTTCATACATCCACCTGCGACACAGCCAATCAGCTTTGAACCACACCTCCACGAAAGCCAATCGGCATCCAAAGCTCATCTTAAAAGGCCTCCGATACACACCTGTCTGCTCCTGTGCGCAGGAGGGGGATGCACTGTGACTTCATTTAGATGACACCATATCAACACACCTCCAGCCCCTCATCCACCATCGTAGCTAAAAGCTTCATCAGAGTGTTATTCCTTCAAGACTCTTACTGCGTTCCCTGTCTCATCTTAACCGGTCCGGCAAAAAAACGTCATGTTGAGCCTGGTTCTGCCAAAGGTTTCTTCTCAATGGGGAGTTTTTCCTCTCCACTGTCACTTCATGCCTGCTGATCACGGACAGGTTCTTTCAACCTGTGTTTTCCAACTAGACTTCCATTTTCCAGGTCCCTGAGTGAAGCTCTAGTATCAGCTCACGCAGTCCACAGAATCTCCCCATACAGTAAAGCTCTGCAGACCGTCTCGCTATCCAGCAGTCTACAGACTGACCAACTTCATCTATCTCCACTCCACCACCAGTTTCAGGCCTAAGGGGGAAACAGCCCTATTCTTTTCTCCTATTCATGCTTATCTATCAAATCAAGTGCTATGTTTCCTGCCGAGGTCAGAGCGCCAAAGACAAAGTAATTGTATCAAAAAATTGCTCCTAATTGTCTTTTCTCTTTGTGTGCGTTTTTCAGATTGAAATAATTGTTGCATTTATTTACTCAGAGAGTTTTCAAAATTTAGGATTTTTTTGTATTTTGGGTTTATTTGTGGTTTGCTTTTGGGATAGGCTTTAATGCATGCTATTTGAAATGATTGGTATCAGTCGAATCAGTGTATGGGTAGGTTCTGAAACTGTAGGATGTGGCTTCATACTGGTTGGTTACAAAGAAATGGTCCTTTTGGATGCCCTCGTCTGTGTGTTTTATGTCATTCTTCTTCCAGTCAAATTAGTCCATGATGCCTGTCAATCTATTTATGTTGTAACCGCATCCCTCACCACGGTAGACACTGGTCAACATCTCTTGTTGGGTAAATCTCTTGTCTAATCTAAATTCATACACAACAACTCCTGTCTTTGGAGGGCAAGGTTCTGCAGCTTTTACATGTTTCTCTGGTTAAACGCACCTGAATAAATATCAATTTTGGCCACTAGTGGGACTCTGTAGATCTTGAATGTATGATGTTGCAGCAAATAAGCTGTTTAACTAAGGTGTGTATGACCAAGTGCCTTCTACACATCATCATCCAGGGGCGTTGTAGATAGCCACAGCTCCTCCAGAGTTACTGTGAACACTTTAGCTACTTTGAGACTTTTTAATCATTGCTTATGATAAAGCCTTCACAGAAATGTAATATTGATACTGAGATTAAATTAAAATGAGGTCAGTTTTGGGTCCTTTTCATAAAGGAACAGAAAGACAGCAGCACTTGGCTGCAAATATTATTAAAAGTCTATTTAAATCTCCTTCTGACTGAATTGTCTAAATAGAGACCCCAGAGCTAACAATCTTGGTGTGACAGTGAGAGCTTAAAGTTTAGAGCAGACAGTTAGCAAGTGGAAACGGTTGCTTTTCTTTTTGCAATTTTCAGTTGATGTTCATTGACAGTTGCAAAACTTGATCTTCACAGTAGCAAGTCCCAGTTGGCACATCAATATGTCCAGTTAAAACTGAATTTGTCACAGTGTGCAAGTCTTTTCACAGCATGTAGTGATGGACAAGTGCAGAATCTGACTGTAACTATGTGTTGGTCTTTTTTATGAGGTGCCCCCAGGGACATAAATCAGAATTAACTTGCATATACACATATTAAATTACACTGTTCCATATAATATACTGAAAACCTCACACAAACACTAGTAAAAAGCTCTCACATAAACTAGTGAAAACATTTACCTCTTATATAATCTACTCAAAAGCTCTCATACAAAGTAGTGAGAACTGTTCATATAAACTGGTGAAAAGCTTTACCTTTCATACACACTACTAGAAAGCTTTCATATACACTATTAAAAAGCTCTCATATACACTACTAGAACGCTCTCATATACACTATTAGAAAGCTCTCATATACACTACTAGAAAGCTCTCATATACACTACTAGAAAGCTCTCATATACACTACTAGAAAGCTCTCATATACACTATTAGAAAGCTCTCATATACACTATTAGAACGCTCTCATATACACTATTAGAAAGCTCTCATATACACTACTAGAAAGCTCTCATATACACTATTAGAACGCTCTCATATACACTACTAGAAGGCTCTCATATACACTACTAGAACGCTCTCATACACGCTACTAGAAAGCTCTCAAACACACTACTGGAAAGCTTTCATACACACTATTAGAAAGCTAAAATATATGGTCCCCCTCCTTTAATTTAGGCAAACATTGCTCAAATATCACCGAATCCAGATGGTTAATAAACACAGTTTAAGATTTGCAGCTAAATTTATTTGTTTCCATATTATGGAACTGCTATCAGGCACTTCCCATCATCTTATATCAGTAATAAAAAATTATAAATACAAATTTGGTATTTGCTGACTTGACTTTTATTTCTGTCAGGCTGAAGTGAAAAAACTTGGAAAGAGACTGATTCTCTTGGCGTTTAAAATAACAACACAAAACAGCATAAGAAAACCGCATTTATTTTTTTTTATTTTACAATTTTGTAAACAACAGCGGCTGATTAAACTAAATGTCTCAACCTTGTATAATTTTACGACTTTTTATTTAACCAAGAAATGATCCGAAAGGCCTGGGAAATGATCAGATCCGCTTATGTGGCTGCAATGCGCGGCGCGCTCCCGACACAGGTGGAACAGATTTTCACATGGGAACAGAATTTCACACAACACCGGAAAAGGATCTCCGTTGAAGCAAAAACATAAAAAATAAAGTCGAGTAATGCCCGTGCTTCTGTGAGTTGTTTAGCGGATAGCTGAGCATGAATCAATAATTTTATTTGATACAATTTCGGCCGGAGATAGCACAAAATGTACGGAGCTAGCCAGAATGACCTCCGTTTAAAACAACTTCCGGTGTAATGACGGTCCTTCCTGTTTCACTGAAACACCTTCCGTTTCAACTGAAATCCGCTAATAGCTTTTCAGTAGTGTGTATGAGAGCTTTCTAGTAACGTGTATGAGAGCCTTCTAGTAGTGTATGTGAGAGCTTTCTAGTAGCATGTGTGAGAGCTTTCTAGTAGCATGTATGAGAGCTTTCTAGTAGCGTGTATGAGAGCGTTCTAGTAGTGTATATGAGAGCGTTCTAGCAGTGTATATGAGAGCGTTCTAGCAGTGTATATGAGAGCTTTCTAGCAGTGTATATGAGAGCTTTCTAATAGTGTATATGAGAGCGTTCTAATAGTGTATATGAGAGCGTTCTAATAGTGTATATGAGAGCATTCTAGTAGTGTATATGAGAGCTTTCTAATAGTGTATATGAGAGCGTTCTAATAGTGTATATGAGAGCGTTCTAATAGTGTATATGAGAGCTTTCTAATAGTGTATATGAGAGCGTTCTAATAGTGTATATGAGAGCGTTCTAATAGTGTATATGAGAGCTTTCTAATAGTGTATATGAGAGCGTTCTAATAGTGTATATGAG